GCTGAAATGCCTGGTCATCTGTGTAGTGGAGTGGCCTGTGCTTGACCTAGTAGTATTTTAAAAATCAGCACAGACGCCCTTTCTCTTCATGCTGCTTCCCAATTAATTGCACAGGTTGTATTAAATAAAAATAACTTCTTAGAGAGCAGTTGCATGTGTGTTAATCTTTGAAATTGCAACACTCGTTGATTATTAATGAATGTGCTTTACTCATGTGAATGAACAGAAGGAGAGAGCAGAAATACAGAACTTACTAGGCAGCACCACCATTTTCATATATACAGACCAATTAGAAAGCCACACCGTGAGTTTCTTTTTGGCAGCAAAACTGGTTTAGTCAAATACTTGAAGAGTTAAAAAAAGATGACTGAAATTATATTTTACTAGTTTTAAAGCATTTGTTGTGATTTCTGGGTGTTTAATATGGTAAGTATATATAATTGCATGTATTTAATGTAAATGGAATAAAACTAGTATTCCTGTTTGTGTGCAATTGTCTTGTAAGCATTGTAGTGCTAGTCATAAAAATGGGTCTAAACTTGAAGTAAATAGTCTGGTTTGAGATGACTGGGGTTTTTTGAATAGCATTTTGAAGTGGAATTTTTTAAAGATTTCTTTTGCAGCCTTTTTTTCTGTGGGAAAAGACTAGTGCTTCTGTAGAAATGTAGTAGGCACACTTCCCATAAGCAGGTCAACACAGCATGGAATGTCTTTAAATCCATCAGAAGCAGATCAGTAGTTGCAAGCATTGGTTTTAACGTCTTTTGGGGTCATACTGGTCATTTTCATAACTTCACTAACTTGTTTCTAGCCTACATATTTTTCTTCCCACTCATTCTAAAGGGAGAAACAGCAACAGGAGGCAAAAATAGTGCGAAGTGATAACAGCGTTATGCAGTGTGGCTGTTTCCACTGGCCAGTTGCTGCCAGTACTTCGAGTTTTACAATAGTGTAGCTGGATCAGTAGTAGCAAAAGCAAGAACCCTCACTATAAAAATGTCTGAAATATCTGTCGTGGGTGTTGCTGCTTTAGCAATATGTTTGTATTCCAAAAGAATCACTTTTTTGTTTTTTTTTCTGACAAGTCCAATCTGTAGATTAAAATTCAGCATCCTTCATATTTTAGATTGACGGAAGGTGGAGAGCTTCCTTGGCTGTCACTTGACACACAGAGAGCAGTTTCTGTATTGACTCAGCAGAAAAGCTGCATCCCCAGTTCAGGAAGCCGCTAAAAAATTTGTCGATTTTCATTCATCTTAGGAAATCCTTTTTGATTTTGAATGGTCTTAAAGATGTGTCTGAAAGCTGAACATACCTTCAGGTGGTTTGAGGTATAATGATGTTCTCATTATACAAAATTGGATGCATAATTTTTTCATATGAGTGGGTGCTTCCCCTAGTACACCCTGTCAAAATTTCTCCAGTGTTGCACAGCGTATTGTAAGCTGGGACAAAATTCTATGAAATGGAATAACATAGAATAACACTTCAATAACTTCAGGATTAAAAAAATCTTCTGGGTTTTGGTATCCACATCAAAAAAATCCGCCATCCAAACATTATTCAGATTGTCAGTCTCAAATAAGAGTCCCAAGACTAGTCTGTAGGCTAAGGATGGGGGGATGGAGTTTCCAATGGATGTTTTCTAAAGTGTTATGACCAAGGGTGTAGTCCTATCCAGAGGACAAGCGAGTGTTAGTCTCCAGGGCTAATGAAAGGTGCCAATTTGACAGCACTAAAGAGTGCGTGTGGGAACAAAAAGGCAAATGACACATCCTGAGTGTGTGGAGTGTTCAAGCAGTAGGAGAATAAAATTAATGTTTTTTTATTTTCCTGTATTTTCTCAGTGTAATTTCAGAAGGACTTCTGTAGTCCAGAGTAGGCTTCCTATTATCCACTGGCATTTCATGTTGGCACTGGCTTTGAAACAATTCTCTAAACAGTGTTTGTTCTTTTTACAATACCTAATTAACTGTATAGAATGACCTTGTCAATGTTTATTAAAAAAAAAAAAAATAGTTATTATGGCATTACATTGTATCCCATTGAATTTTCATCAGGGTATATCTCAGGCTTGCAAATACTCATGCATGTGCTTAACAGTGTGGATGTGCCCAGCCTGGTTGTAATTAGCAGGCTGGGGTAGTTTGCAGAGGCAGTCATGTGCTGGAATCTTGGAAAATTGCTGGTGTTACATGTTGGAAGGAAGCATTGCCATAAGGCCATATTGTATATTTGAGGGGCAGAAAGTATGTTTTGTGTGTTCCTGTGATGTTTAGTCTTGTGGGAAGCAGAATTAAGGGCCTGAGGAATCGCTACATCATATGGCTTGTTCTTGTCTTCAAGTGTAATTTTCACCTGCTTACCTTGGAAACTGTTGTCCCAATTTTCTGTTGACAGTGCACCTGAATTTAAAAGAGAATGTGTGCTGATGAAACTGAAATCTTGTGAAAACTTGGGGGATTCATCTGTGTATTTTCCTTTGCAGATTACTGTGTGGGGGTGGTTTTCATTGTTTGAGTGTTGGGGATTTTTTTGTTTGTTCGTTCATTTGGGGGGGGGGGGGGGGTTTTTTTTTTTTTTTTTGTTGGGTGGGATT